GCAACTAAACTCCTGGCCGTCAAGCGATCCCTTCTGCCTCAGGACCTCCTCGTTAGCTGGGTAGGCAGCATGCGTCGCACCATCGCCCGCTAATTTTTTTTTAATATATTATCAGTTGGCCATTAATTTCTTCATTTTATAGTAGAGACGTGTCTCGCTCTTGCTTAGGGCTGGTTTTGAACTCCTGACTGAGCAAATCCGGCGCTTCGGCTCCAAGAAGCTAGGATTACAGGCGTGAGGGCACAGCGCCCGGCCTGTTTTTGTTGTTTTGAGACAGAGTCTCATTCGTTGCCAGGCTAGAGTGCCTGGCGTCAGCCTAGCTCACAGCAATCTTCAACTCCAGGCTCAAGCATCCTCCTGCCTCAGCCTCCCGAGTAGCTGGATACCAGGCATTGCCACCATGAAGCTAATTCTTAATATATTTTAGTGGCGCATAACTTCTTCCATTTATAGTGAGAGATGGGGTTCTTGCTCTTGCCAGGGTGGTTTCGGAACTCCTGACCTTCAGCGATCCTTCCGCTCGGTCCAAGAGAGCTAGGGATTACACGGCATGAGACACTCGCGGCCGGGCTCTGACTACCTCTTTTGCTTTGTAATGCCTCCTGCATTATCAGCGACGTAATAAACACACTGTCCAGGGGAAGCAGGACCCCTAATGCTTCAGTTGCTCTGGGTGGTCCCATTCATTTAACCTTGGCAGGCAATCGCCCTAGGTGACGTCGTCCACACCATGTCCCCGTGTTACCCAAAGACACTTGGTAAGAGTTTTCTGTGGTTGCAGAAGTGCAACAGCCAGACCTTGATTCACGCCAGGCTCGCTGGGCCTCTGAGATGCCCTCTGAGACCCCGTTACCATTCATGGCTGGGTGCAGAGGTATTTGCAGACTGACTATTCCCAAAACTGCTTCCCTTCGGCGTGTGTGACGCAGCCGTCGTCTCCCTGCGTGTCCCGGGAAGTTTGGAGTCGACCTTGACGGCAGGACTCAGCCCCATGCTGGGCTCCTGCTTCCCAGGGAGGCAGGGCGGTCTTTGGCACCACACAGAGCTGGCTGTGGAGGCCGCCTCGGTCCTCTCCTGGCTGTGCAACTTTGGGGTGGTGCCCTCCCACCAGGGCGCAGGGGAGGGCAGTGGTGTCCCTGGACTTCGTGTCGGGGTCTGGAGCCACCCTGACCCCCCACTGCTCGGCTGCTTGCCCCAGAACCCCCGTGTTTTGGCCTCATCATGCCAAATTGTGAGCTTCCCTACTTGGACGTAACGTCCCCACCCCCACTTCCTCACCCCAAACACCGGGAAGGAGTGGTTCCAGAACCAAACCCGGGCTTGCCTGTTCTCCTCTGGGCTTATTACTCACCAGCTTCCGTGTGGCCCTGGGGATGTTGAGGAAAAAAAAATCTCTCCAGGCCTCCACGTTTCCTCACCAGGAATAACTGGGGTAACACCCACCTAGCTATGGACCCCCCGGGGAACTAGAGAACCCGGGACAGCAGACAGTCTGCACCTCCCACACACTAGCATCCAGCGGCAGCACCCCGCGGTGCGACAGCACCCGCCCGCTCCCCGCCTGGCCCTCCACTGCTTCACCGAGTTAGAGCTTCCAGGGCACAGCTCTCCTCCGGTCCCGCCTTCGCCGGTGGTCCAGGCCCTCCGCGCCAGCCTCCGCAGCCCTCCCGAACGTCGCCCAGCTCGGCCTCCAGCCGCGGACTCTGCTCACAGGCGCCGGACTCCAGCAGGCCCCGCAGCCGCGCCTTCCTCTTGCTCCCCGAGCACGCGCAGCTTCCGAGGACCTTCCCTCATTCTTCAGCTCCCCCGTGATCTTCTCTCGCGCCCAGGGAGTGCTCTGGATGACCCCCACGGCCTGCTGCTCAGCCGCCCAGAGACGTGGCACCGCGGGGGAACTCTTTGGCGATGTCCTGGTGGGGAGAAGGGGTGGGAGGGAGACATCAGCTGCATTTTCCGGGCAGCCCTGGGAATGCCCTGCAGAGCACCCGCTGAGACTCGGGTTGGAGCCAGAGGGGCCTTCCAGGGCCAGCGTCTGCCTTAGAACTGGACTTGGCAACGCCGGACCTTTTTCCTTCCCCAGGATCTTTCTCAGTTCACTGGACCAAGCATGGAGAGAGTCCCTGTTGGGTGTTCTTTTCTGTAACACTTCCTGACCATTGGCTCTCTTCCTTTTTTAACAAAGAGAGGGGCCCTCAGGCTCAGAGCCTTCAGCGGAAGTCTGGACTCAGACAACCTGATGGCTCTTTTTTTCACTACATCTTCATTCCTACAAATAACACATTTGTCCTTAATTACCTACGTAACTGCAAATGGGTGACGGGTGCTGGCTTTTCCATCATTGACAGTGATATCTTTTTCTCAATAAAGGAATCACCAATTTTTTAAAAAAAGCTAAGCCATTTAAATGCAAATATTAAAGGAACAGTACAGGTGCTGCCAGTTGTGTATAGGAAATTATAAAGTGGCCCTGAATCACTGGAGACAATTCTACCCGCTCCACTGTACAGAGGGCTTCAGGTCCAAGGCCAAGCGAGACAGGTCTGGATTAGACCTCCTGCCCCTGCAGGCTTGCTGCCACACCAGGCTTTCCCCCTCGGCATGGTGACTTTGGGGCTGGACAGGTCCGTCGGTTGGGGGGCTGTCCTGAGCACTTGCAGGGTGTTGAGTTAGTACCCAGTCTCCACCCAAATAGAAGCGTGTAGCACCCAGTTGTGGCAAACAAAAAATGTCTCTAACATGGCAAACGCCCCCATTTTGAGACCCGCTGGCCTAGGCTGCTGTCTGCCAAATGCCCTGCTGGCTCCGAGACTTCCATCCTGCAGCCAGACCCAGGCAAGTTTGTAGCGGCACTGCCGGCGCTTCTACACGGGGTCGTGTGCCGTGGGGTGTCTGGTATCTCCCGGGCACCAGCAGCTGTCCTATCAGATCAACCTGAACCAGCCCAGCACGTGGCACCCCTCAGCAGACACCTCAGCCCTCCGGCGCGTGCGCCCGCTCCACTGCAGGTGGGAGAGCGCGCGGTGGGCAGCTCGCAGCGTCCGCCCCAGGCAGCCGTCCACCTTCTCCACCCGGCCTTCAGCCAGCTGGAACCTCGTCCACCTCGCCCTACTGCTCGTGTCCCGGGCCACCCGCTCCAGCAGGGCAACCCGGTGCCTGTGGGAGGACATCGCCAAGCCATGAGGGTCCCAGCCCAGGCTGCTCCTGGCTTTGAGCCAGAACCGCAGCCTGCCCAGGTGTGTGTTGTGTTTTAAAGTGGTGTGTGTGCATGTAGTGTGTGTGTGTTAAGGGGCATGATGCAACAACTTCAGCCCTTTCGTTGGAACAAAGAGATCCCGGATGCTTGCTCTATGTATGAGCCATATGCCCAGAGCAGCGTTGGAGACAGCATGCCAGCACTAGACGCTGCACTGTGCAGCCACGGTCTAGAATGGCACTCGGGACCGGGTGCAGTAACAGGCAAATGAGCGGCAACATTAACATGCTGCTACTACTAGTTTGAACTTATCATTGTGAGCACTCGCAAGTTGCGGGCACTTGCCCAGGTTGCGCGGCAACTGCTCAAGAATCTTTATGTGCGCGATCTCACGAACTCTCCTACTCACGCTCGCTCGTCCTCTCTAATCTCTGCCAAATAGAGTGGTCACATAGCTAGATTGTATAGTATGTATCCTCGAGTCTCAGATAAGCATTAGTCTGGAACTGGACAGACAC